ATGATGCAGGTAGTGAGCTGTATTTCTTCTGATTTCTCTTTTTTTAATAAAAATAAAAAAAGAAAAAAAAAAGTTTTTTGCAGCGCGTTTATACCCTCCAAGGACTGACAACAACCATCTGCTGCTGCTGCTGCTGCTGCTGCTGCTGCTGCTGCTGCTGCTGCAGGTGACCATTGGACCCTCACCTCTCCGTCGTTTCTTCTTGATGAAAATAAATATAATTTAAATTCAAACAAAGTAAAAACACTTTTTAATTTAATTTATTTTTTATTTTTTCTTCTTTTTCCTTGAAATACCTCAACAAACCAAAGAGAAGGCGGCTGGTCTTCTCCGCCGCAGTGAACACCCCAAATGAATCTGCAACCGAAAAACACAATGAAATAAATTAATTAAAATAAATTAATTAAAATAAATTAATTAAAATAAATTAATTAAAATAAATAATTAATTAGGGAGAACAATTGATATATATATCGACAAAAGAAATCGGTGATAGATGAAATAGTTGCATTAAATGAATTTTATGAAACTAATGATAAATTAAATTAATTTAAATAAATAAAATGAAATAAATCACAAAATTTATTTCAATATTCAACCTCTTAAAGCCTTTGTTCAGCTTCATTCGCCTTCAGCCTTTCTGCAACCCCCAAGGGCTTAGGGTTTAGGGTTTAGGGTTTAGGGTTTAGGGTTTGTATAAGAGTGTTTAGGAGCCTTCAATAGGTGTACACCGCATAAAAAATTTTTCTTTGTGAGGGTGAGGGGGCCCCCACCCCAGCCGCAGCAGTGTACTGCATGCGGCATTCAGGCTGCTGTATGTTTTTCTTTTGATTTATTTATTTGTAGGTATAAAGGTATAGATAAACAAAAAAAAAGAGAGAAAATAAAAAACAAAGAGAGAACGAATAGAGTCGGTTGTTCTCTGAGTTGCATATACACTGCAGAATGACTTGCATTGATATTCTTCATCATTTCATCTGTATTTTGTATTTTTTTTTAATTTTTTATTTATTTTTTTCTGTTTCTTCTCGCTCTGATATACACAAACTGCCTGCTCCATACAACACCGCCTGCGGCTCTGTATACCAATTTCTGTTTGCTAGGATCGCTCCCTTTAATGCACAACAACGAAGCAGAGATATTTCCTTTTCTTTCATTTCGGCCCCTCGCTCAGGCCGCCAACTATACAGAGTAAACTCCACCTGAAATTCAAATCAAAATAAATAAATAAATAAATAAATAAATATATATATATATGTAAGTTAAAGACAGAAAGAATACACAAAGAGAAATAAGCAGACAGAGATCTCGCTTCATATAGAGACAAAAAGCACACAGCTGCAAATATACAAACATAAAAACAAACAAATGCTTGCATATGCTTATTTTATTATATACAAATAATATTAGGGTAGAAACGCTACGCAACAGATTAAAACGCAGATATACAGGGGCTTGAAATAGAGTGCATGCATCTGTATACAACAACATGCATATATATATATATATATATATATATATATATATATATATATATAT